AGGGAGAGGAGGTAAATGCTGGTGTTACCGTCTGCTTCTCACCAGTCTCCATCAGCATCCCGCTGGCTTGACTGCCTGCTGGCTCCATAGCTTGGGCTCTTGTTGGTTCACAGAAACAAAATCCTTTAAAATTGTATTTCTGGAATCCTGAAAAGTGCTAGGCAGACACAGAGATCACAACAACTCAGAGCTTTGTTATTGGCTCTAAACCAAAGTCGCACACTGGCTTATTCAAATCTAAAAAGCCCAGCCTGGTCCCTGGGTGAGTACCACATGGCTAAAATTAGCCAGGCCATCTGCTGAGACAGCAGCTGGGCTATTCTGAGCCCCAGCAGGCCTGCCTGGAAGTGGGGCTGGTCCGGGGGGAAAGCACTGAAGAGGCCGGTCAATTCATAGTTCAAGGGATGACAGGAAGGGACATGGAGGATGAGGCCACACTGGGAGGGAAGGCCAGTGCCATGGCGATGTTTCACGGGAGAATGAAAAAGCGTAGGATTATTTTGGTGTCCTGCCCTCTGGTTTCTCCTCTCTTACTCGGAGCTTCCTTTTCGGGTTCAAACTCCAACAAAACTATTCTCTGAGATTTCAGCAGTAATGGCTAAGATTTGCAGAGCACTTATTGCAGGGCAGGACCTGTGCAAATAAATTCAGAGATTAGCACATATATTCTCAAGACAACTCTAAGATATGGGTACCAGATTTGGGGAATTTAGAATGGCTTGATTTGTCTTCATTGAGAAGGAGGTTTCGTTGAAAACACCAGATAGGCATGAGCCCTACCTTGGATGACTCCAGGAACAGGAGTTCCCTTCTGTGGACCCTGACCTAAGCTTTCTTCATCTCTGGAGAACAATAGTATCCTTGAGTTCAGATTCCATTGACCTAAGGGGCACGGAACTTAGGGGTACAAACATAACCTAGACAGACATTTATATATGTTCTAGGTAGAATCCAGTTTAACATGTATATACATATAGCCACTGTAACCCAACATCAGAAATCCTAGACCCAGTCCAGAGTTGTTCTCGGACTTAAAACTGCATTGTCTATGGCCCCCTAACTGGCTGTTTCAGTCCTTGTTTCTATAAATGGTCATGAAGCCATAGTTGAGACTTACGATGTTCTTTTATTAGCCATTTCATATTTCTTTCGCCCTCAACCACAGCCTTAGCTGACTGAAGTGACCCAGGCCTTCATCCCTGAATCTTCAATAGTTCTGTCATCATCTAGAGTGGGGTGTTTTTGGTTGCTGTATTTCTATTGGCCTTTGCAATTGGACGTGGTCGTACTAAGGTACTCCTGAGGCGAGTTCCAGACACAGGCCTCCTTGTCTCCACTGTGTAGCATCTCAATTTGCCCGGTAATCAGGATCAGTCACTCCAGCTAGCAGAGGAAGCCCTTTTCTCTGCACACTGGTTCAGTGGTATAAAGACCACAAAACACCCAGGTGGCAGACTTATCTTCCCAGTCAGTGAGACTATTGATGTGTCTCCTGGTGGGGTGGGGGAGAAGAATTTCTCCCTTCGGGGAATAAGCCCTCCAAACAAAAGCTCTGTCCATGGAGCATCAGATGTGGTCAGTGAGAGGAGCTACTCCCACTCCACTCCTTGGGTCCCAAACCCATGCACTTTGGCTGCGGGAAGGCAGCAGCACATCAGTCTTGGATTAAAGCATCTGCTGCATCCTGTAAGACCGAACCTCATCCCTTCGGGGTGGTGTCTCACAAATGGTACCATTGTGAGCCATTACAATTTTTTTTTTTTTTTAATGGGAGAAGCTAGTATCATGGCTAATCTTTATAAAGAAACTTTACAGCACATTTTCCAGAAGTCAGTGCGCGGGTTCAGTGGGCCAGCTGGTGGGGCACCAACATGTAATGGGTTCTACAGTTAGGGTATCACTGGGTCTCGCCTTTGTGAAGCCAGAACCAGGGGACAGCACTGTTGTCCTCTTCACAGAGGCAGCCCACTATCTGCTTGCAGGTGGTGAGAGGTCTAAATCTGGGTATTCCTTGGTGCCTGAAGCTCTTTGGTGGTGGCATATTGTATGGGTCCAGTCTCTTCCATACAGACATCATGACCTCCCTCTCCAGCCCAGCCAACCTGCCTGTCATTAGTAGGAACATGACCTCCAGGTGCCATGGAGCACACAGCGGTTGCCCCATTGGGACTGCAGGCCCTAGGGGCCTGTGCGGCCAGTGCTTCAGCTCCAGAAAGTGTACCTTTCAACTATGCCACTTCTGGGTGATGGCGTATGTGGCAAAACCAGTTAATTCATGGGTGTGAGCCCATTGCTGCACTCCCTGTTGTGAAATGAGTCCCTTGATCAGAAGCGAAGCTGTGCAGAATGTCACAGTGGTGGGCGAGTCCACTTGGCATGCAGGACAAACATCAGGTGCCCCCCCTTTATCAGCACTGACCCCGTGTCATGTGGTAGGCAACCTTTTGTTTTTACACAAAGGCCAATTTACCAAGAAGAATGTTTACAGGTCACATTTACTAAACAAAAAATCTCTAAAAGTGTCATCTTCTTATAATCTGGAGTACTTACTCTAGAGACTAATAAAGAGAAAAAACAAGAAACAGACATTTATCTCTTAGGCCACACAAATGGGCATATTTGGCATGTGCTAAAGAGAAGCTACTAATCTCTGTACCAAACCTCACTCAATCCAACCAGTACCAAGTCAGACTCCATTTGGAAGGCCCTGCCTGGAGAAACAGTGGAAACACTCTGTCTCAAAAAAAGCAATCCCCAATCTTTGCAGAGCTGAAACAGAATTTAAGGAAAGGAAATGGCACCATTATGGGAAATGTGAAATCTTAAGGCACCTGGGCGTACTTTTATAGACTATAATAAAACCAGCCTAACAGGTCGGAGATAAGTCCTTTCTGATGCTCAGATCTTAACAGTGAGGAGATATAGGTTTCTGAAGGCCAAAGGACAATGCACCATCCAGGCTTTCAATGTAAATGGTTAACACAGAGTGCATACTACTCTGCACCAGGCCCCAGCTACCTTTGGTCTTACTCCCAAAAGCACAGTGCTTGAAGTTTACTGCAAGGCAAATCAGTCTACAGCACCATCCTATCAGTGCTCTGGGATACTGAAGGAGCTGTTCTCCTCCTCCAGAAGAGGGCAGCACCTGAAGTGTAGCAAGAGAACGAACCATCAGCTAATACACTGGAGGGACATGCAGTGCTCAGAACTTTTATAAATGCACGCATGCGGCAGTGTGGAACAGTGTGGCCTGAAATGTGAGCCAAGTACTACCTTGGGCAACTACTGCCGGCCAAGGACATTTCCAGGCACAGGGGCAGGAGGGCAGCACATCAGGAGAGGCAGAGAGCAGCACCTTTTCCCTCATGGAGCACCCTGAGTTGCTGTGCAAGGTTGGTTTTTAAATATTTTTACATCAATTTATTGCATTTTAGCTGAGATAAAAGCAGGGATAGAAGAATTTCTTTAAAGAGTAAAGCAAATTCTGAATACTGAAACATAATACGGTTAGGTCCCCTCTTTTAAAAGAAAAATAGATTCAGAAATGTGAATCTCTTACAAAAATAATCAGTTTTCATTACAGGGAACCCAGTAAGCAATTGCTCCTACCTAAAAATACCTTATTTAATCAGGTACTAGGGGGGTAACTGCCTTTCTCTGTGCCGATAAAATAGGTGAAAAGGATAGAATATTCAAAATCCAGGGAGCTGCAGAGCCTTATTGAATTGCTGGCTCATCAGGAGAGAGGGTCTCAGGTCAAAAGTGCTATGAATTTTCACCAAAAGCGACAGATACTGAAATAAAGACAAGAACTTCACTGTTGTCAAACTGTTTCATTTGTCTTTCTACATCTGAAACCAAACACCTTATCTTTTTTTGTATGGCCCTCAAAGCATTTAACGGCATGAAGTCACAAACATGCTGCTACTCTAGCACCGTTCATAAACAGCATGTTGTTACAGACATGTAATATAGCTCAACCAGAGAAACTTAAATGTCTTTCTTCTCTTCTGTCTTGAATAATGTCTGTTTTGCTTCCTTCACCAAAAACAAAAAACAGGAACCCCAAAACCACTCCAGTGTAACTTTGGGGTTTGAGACAGCAGCTCACTTTACCTGTTTTTACCGCTCTGCTTGAGAGGGTTTCTCTATTCCCCAAGACGGATTCTCTGTAGCCTAAGCTGCTGTTGATGGCTGCCTTTTTCTCCTCTGACCCCACCTTTTGGCCCACATGTCCCTTACCCTTTCTGTAAAAGGTCAGAAGTGACGTAAGATATTGGGCCTGGGTCAGGCACAGTGGCTCAGCCTGTAATCCCAGCACTTTGGGAGGCCAAGACAAGAGGATTGCTTGAGCCCGGGGGTTCAAGACCAGCCTGGGCAACTTGTTGAGACCTCGTCTCCACAATAAATCGCAAAAACTAGCCAGGCGTGCTGGCATGTGTCTGCAGTTCCAGCTACTTGGAAGGCTGAGGTGGAAGGATCGCCTAAGTCGAGCAGGTTGCGGATGTGTGGCTATGAATGCACTGTACTCCAGCCTGGGTGACAGGAGTGAGACTCCAACTCAAAAAAAAAAAAAAAGAAAAAGAAAAGGCATTGGGCCTGGCTTTCAGACAATTTAAACAGTTAAACATCATCCTCAAAAACAGGGTAACTGTATGAGACAACTCTATGTATATGTAAAGCTGTAAATGTATAACCATGTATGTATATGTACATGTATACCATATATGTATATATAAAGCAGTCTTCCATAGAACAGAATTATGAATTTATCACTACAATGCATCTGATGAGCTGAAAAAAATGAGTGTCTTTCTGTACTTGGTTTTCTGCTGTTCAGATGGGGCACTCCCACTGGGCAGTGCCATGTGCTCCCTGGTACATTCTGGGGTTTCATAGATATGTGCAGAAGAAGTCCCCCTGAAGTCTCTGTGGACCATGCTCTGTGAAGATTAGCCATAACCGTAGTCAGAATGAGACCACACACAATACACAAATATAGAAGTCATTTGCATTTTAATTGAGAATTACTATTAGCCCTTGGGTAAGTATACTGGTAGAATAGATGGTTTTAATTTGGAAGACAAAATTGCTCATAAGAAAGTCAAGGATTTCAAATGCAACTTCTAATTTACTCTACTACATATTCTGAGAGTCTATATTCTAGCATTCCTAGAAAAGGAAAGCTCTTGTTTATAACTATGAGAAATTGTGAATGCTCCTCTGGCCCTCCCACACCTCTTTACACAAATAAACAAAAACAGTTAAAAGGGGACAGCAAGTGCAAGATAAAAAAGAAAATCTAAATAGTATGAAATTAGTTTTTATTTTATACTTCAAAATAAATGCTTGACATTTTTTCAAAATCAAAACTAAAAGTGAACACTTAGAAAAAAGGGTGGAAGCTTATTTTTTCCTTCTCTGGGGAAACCAGTAAGGCAGAGGTTCTAACATGTCTCCACAGGACTAGTCTACACAAACGAGATGAAACCTTTCCCCAACCCTTTTTCTACTGACAGTTTTATCTACCAGGGCTATGCCTGGCAAGAAAAAGAACCCAAAACAACCCCTCCCCCCCAAACACAACACAAAACAAGGGATTTGAAAAGTTGGGAAAAACCTTTAACACATGACCATTTAACAGCGTTCACGTAAAATCCTTTCTAAGGGGATTTAGTAAAGGTACTACCCATCGACAACTTAGCCGGGGTTCCTGCCTGGTGAGTTGGTGCATAAACACATCAAGTGAATTCGTAGCAAAGTCACTGGGGTGTGACTCGGTCACATCTCCTAATTCACCACAAGGATGTCTTAAAATTGAATTTCAGTTTCAGCAAATACTTCAGATTTACCTGAGCAATATCGTAGACAATGTACCTGAGGGGAAGCTTGTCAAGGAGCCAACAGCTGTGCAACAGAGAGCACATGTGTCCCCATCTCCCCCCACGGTGTCAGGATGCTCAGTGACAGCCTGAACATTACTCTAAGGATTTCTTCATGGGGCTAGGTTGGTGTCCCTCAGGCAGATAAAAGGGAGAATTTTCTGGAAACTGGGGTAAGGCTCATATCCTGTAAAACAGGATAATATGGGAAAGCAACGTGACTTCTCACTCTGTACAAGGAGACCACTGAGGGGAACGGTCAACACGAGACACACTACGGGGGGGTGTGTGTCTCTAATCACTGTCTGCCCCAGGTTATCTGACTTCACATAAATGACTCTGTAGCTCCAGAACATTCCTTCATGCTCACTTAGCATGTTCATGAAAGGATACTCGTTATACAGTAGACAGGTGTCATTAACACCAGATGAAATCCCGGTCCCAAGAGGAACCTCTACACCATCCAGAGTAACACTAGCTGAAGGGTCAGGGGTAGTTTTGCCCAAACCTGCAAAACAGAAGGCACAAGTGATGGAACTGTGAGAACAGATGCTGAAACTGTTTCAGGGAGATGAGGCCTATTTTATGTCGGGTCTATGTGTTCACTTGAAGACATACAAATTCCACACTTCATCCGTCTTCAGATATGAAACTACAGGCTGTAAATCAGGGATTCCAGGGCATCAACCTTAACTGATTTTGATGAGAACAGTAGCTGTTCCTCACTGGGTCACATTTCTGACGGAATTCCAAAGCAGTCACTTAAACCAGGCAGTGGAAGCATATAAATCATAGTATGCTGCAAATTCTTGCAATCCAAGATATTCCAGGTACCACTATGTCGGGAGAGGCCCCTCACTGTTACAGTTGAGAGGCTAAAACCCAAATCCAGTGTACCTGGTACTAGTATCTGCATCAGGATTCTCCTATGGCATTTGTGATACTAGCTGCATCCACAGAATGAGAGTTTTAAAAAATGAACACCCAGCTATTTAACATCCAGCCACAAGAAGATAGCCTTCTGAGGAAGAAAGCCCCCTTCTGTGTTGTCCAGGGACCTGGGGCTGTAGCAGTAGCTTAGAAAACACATTACCTTTGACACTGTGCTTGCCCTTGGGTAACTTGCTGATATGTGAAGCATGCTTCAGTTCATACCTATTCGAGAGAGGACAATCTCAGAAGAGGCCTTCAAGGGCACTGGGCTCTCAAAATCAACCAAGGTCCGATACAGAGATGAGATTAAAGCTCATGAAACTCAGCTCATCTTCACTGCTTGGAGCTCCCTCCCAAGTTTCTGGAACCATGTGAGAACCTGAAGGTGCAGTTATTTCTGAACATAGTTTGTGCCAATGACCACTAGTATGGGGCTGTTCTCAAGGAAGGGCCCTGTTTGGAGCTGTGGTTGGCCACTCTGGATTTCTGACCATATCTACAGTCCCTGAACCCCTGGCTTATTACGTGACCCTGGTCATAGGACCAGGGTGGATCCCTGAACCAGACTACACTAGTCAGCTTTTCTCTTGAAGAATTTGGTACTGGAATTAAAATGGTCATCTAGGTTGACCTCAGAAAACCTGAATTTCAGTGAGGGGAGTAGGAAGCCCTGGGGTGACCATCCTTTGTGCAATTTCCAGTTCACAGGAAGAAGAGACAACTGCCGGTTCCCGAGGCTTGGCTGTACTCCTGTTGGCTCATCTGAACTGGTTTCTGCTATTCACAAGCAGAGTCCTAACTTGTGCATCCAGCAACTGTGGCGTGAAATTTCTGTGGTCATCTCCCAATCTCCCATCCAAGGGGCCTTCTGCCTACAGCCCACTCCCTCTGTCCCCATTAAGAGCCAGAGCCAGGTTTACTCACATGTTTCCAAGAGCAACTTCTCCCAACAGGATTAAGCCTATTGGGTCTCCCTGAGACGTATGGCAGTAGTTGGCACTCTTGGAGACCATGTCGGCAAAATAGATCCCTTTGCCAAACATGTAGCCTGTCTGGAGAGTTGGAAAAGGGACAGATGAAAATCTGAGTGGCAAGTTAGAAGCAATTATTTACGAGTGTCGACTTGAGCCAGGCACCTGGCCATGTGCTGTAATCCATCACTTCTGATTTTTACAATGTCCCTGGTGAGGAAATACCAATGTCTGAGCTCACAGGTCAGGTTGTTCAGACTTGAACTCTCCTAGGTAGAGGTTGTAGGAAGTTATTAATACTCAACCTCTCTGGACCCTACTTTCTTCCTCTCTTAACTGGGGAAAATAATCTCATGGGGCTGCTGTGAAGATGTAATGAGTTAATAAACATTATTCAAACTGGAAACTGGGTACTGGCAACACACAATGAACGCTGGCTATTATTTTTATTCCCTTTTGTAAGTGAAACATGAGGTAGAGCGGTCAGGCCGTCTGCCCACCATACACTACTGCATAGCATCTCTCTGTTACTTGCTCTTTACAACCGTAAAATGAGAGGAATGGAAGTCTAGCTCTCAGGTCTTATCCTGCTGGACACGTCTATGACCCAGCAGGCAACATAACAGTTCCGGGTCAAGCTTTATTTGTTTATTGCTACATTTCACTGATGAAGAGACGGAAGCTCATGGAGGTCACCCAGATGTGAAGAAATAGAGGAGGTCTCGACTCAGCTTGGTCTATGGCCAAAGTCTGTTCTTCACATGTCAACACACCCAATTGGCATTCACAGCAGGCCTTGGCCTGGAAACTCTACTTCCTTTGTTCGAGAAGCAATGTTTAATACATGTGTAGCCAAACCACTGACAGGGTTTGGGTCAGGAGGATGAGGGTGAAGGTATTAGCTGGGCTCGGTGGCTCAGCCTGTAATCCTGCGCCTTTGAGAGGCTGAGGTGAGTGGATTGCCTGAGCCTGCGGGTTCGAGACCCACCTGGGCAGCGAGACCTCATCTCTACAATAAATCAAAAAGTCAGCCGGGCGTGGTAGCGCATGCCTGTAATTCCGGCTACTGGGAAGGCTGAGGCGGAAGGATCGCCGGAGCCCAGCAGGCGAGGCTGCAGTGGCTGGGAGCGGCCACTGCACTACAGTCTAGAAGACCAAGTGAGACTCCAACTCAAAAAAAAAAGAGGGTGAAGGTACTATCTACACCTCAAACGGGGCTCTTACTCATAGCTCTTTATGGAGACTCCTCAGAGACAGGTATTGCCCACCCTACTCCCCACCCCTTCCAAGGCCAGGCACATACCACAGGTGCTTCAGGCGGGGCTATCCGAAGACCTTGGGACAGGATCCCAGCAAAGTTCGTGGTCCTGGACCCATGCCACAGCAACCTTCGGTTATGAAGCTGCTTGAAGGGCTTATAGCGCTGGCTCTCCCCTTCACGGTCTATCTTAAAGATCTGGCGGAGTTTTATACAAAGGGGAGGGACAAAAGAAGCCATCTGTTAGTGTTAGTAGTTGACTGAAAGATAGAACTGGATATGGGAGGACTGACCAGCTGTCCCTACAGCAAGAGAACTGAAGGTCTGCTGCAACGTGGAAGATGTTTTCCACCGGGCTGGGATGGAGCAGCCTGACTTGCTGAGGTCCCACCCAGCAGAGACTAGCTATCGTAATCAGCATTACCATGCAGCAGATGTGCACTTGAAGAATTTTATCGTGAACCTCTGATAATATTTTCTGACTCTAAAACCAGGTTTGGAAACAGGAAATGTCCTTTAAAAGAGAATAAAAAGCCACTCCCACATTACTATGTAAGATTTATACAATTTTTCAGCTCAATAAATGAGTCACAGCCTCTGGTTATTTAAAGCCAAGTAAACTGCTCTTTTCTACCCAGGCCCAGGCTGGAGGAGTGGGCAGGGAAAAGCTGGCAGGACAGATAAGGGGGTGGGGAGAAGGGATTCTTACGTCGACAACTTCCAAGTCGTACGCGTTGTGTGTGGTTGCATGAGTGTTCTTAACATACTTTCTAATGATCTCGGCTTCTTCAGAATCTTTGTCAACCACCTGGAAAAAAAGGCATATTGGGGTTAGAGGCGAGCCATGGAGGCAGGAAGAACACACAGGGTCAGTTGATGCACGGATCAACACTACAGTACTCAACAGAAGCTCAGGCAGGCCCATTGGCTGGGCAGGCACCGGGCCAGTGGCTGCACTTCCCTGGCATTCACTCCCTTATCTACTAAGGTTGCTAGAGGATAACATTCTGTGCTTTGGGATCTTGGGAAAGCTAAAATATGGGGCTCACAGGGAATCCCCAAAATGAGGAACTGGCTCTGGAAACAAGAGTCCACTTTATTATGAACTGAAATACAGCCAAGACCTGTAAGGAAAAGCCTCGAGGAACCACATAATTTTGAGGACAGGAACAACTGTTCAGTCTCTTTTGAATCCTCAGGGTCACCCATATGACACTTGGTTCAGAGCACACACCTCACAAACAACTGTCAGACAGTTAATGAAATCTATGCTAAGTGAACCTGAGTGCATTATGGAGACTGTGTATGTTCTCATATATATATATTTGAGTTGGAGTCTCACTCTGTCGCCTAGACTAGAGTGCAGTGGATGCTCCTGGCCACTGCAGCCTCGACCTGCTGGGTTCCGGCGATCCTTCCGCCTCATCCTTCCCAGTAGCTGGAATTACAGGCATGCACTACCATGCCCGGCTGATTTTTTGATTGATTGTAGAGATGAGGTCTCGCTGTCCAGGCGGGTCTCGAACCCGCAGGCTCAGGCAATCCACTCACCTCAGCTTCCCAAAGGCGCAAGATTACAGGCTGAGCCACCGAGCCCGGCTGTTCTCATATATTTTATATTCTTATTCAAAGTTCAGAAAATCTAGGAATTCTGGTCTACCTCACTGCCTCTTAAGCAAAAGGTTTCAGCCATTGTAAATGAAGAGAGAAAGAATCCTTCATAAGAACCACACTCAGCTTTCCCACCAAGAACATGCCACAGGCTGCGGTGGCTGTGAGTGTGCCACTGCACTCCAGCCTGGGTGACAGAGTGAGACTCCACATCAAAAAAGAACATGCCACAGAGGCAAAATAAGCAACATTTGGTGTCTTATCCCATACAGACTCACAGATCTATGTTGTCCTGGACAATAAGCAAAGGCTCTTTTTAGTGAAGTAAACATATGGTACCAGGCTCAACAGATTCTAGTGCGCTTGAACCCTTGCAATGCTGCAGGGGAGGAAGCAGGGGGTGAGGAGAGTGAAGGCCTGATGAGAACAGGGCAAGGTAACCTAGAACTTGAGGCAGACATCCTGCCAGTGGTGGGCCTAGGCAGGGTGATTTTACCCGAGTGCTCAACACACCCAAGTTCAGGTACTGTGTGTAGGTCAACATGGGCCATTCCACCTCCAAAGAAAGACAAACCCAAGCATTGGGTATTTTTATTACAGTTGCCATCAAGCATTTCTACTTCTGAAAGGGACACTGGTAATAAGTCTTCTAAAAGTTCATGCCACAGGAGTCTCCAAAAACGGAACCTCTCTCTAGATTAAGGGGGGAAAAAAGAACTTTTGGTAAGGTCTCCAAAACTCAGTCTTTACATCAAGCTGAAGTGCTGGCTTGGAAGCCTGCCCTGCAAACAAGGTGCATTATCTACAGGTGAAACAAACAGAGGTTCTTAAAGGACCAGGGCTTGTTAGGAAGGCAAATTCTCTGGCCCTAGCCATCTGTGTGTGAACAAGTGCCCCAGGAGATCCTATCACACATTCTAGTTTGGGACCATTGCTCTCAGGATGAGTGGTGAAGATGCCTGAGTTACCTTAATGACAGTTTTGAGCTTCTCATAGTTGACATCGATGGGATCCTTGCTGCTGTCATCAGAGCCACCCCTGAGCAGACTGTAGGCCACTTCGATGTCCAGCAGGTTGTCCAACATTTCCACCTTGGCCTGAGCAAAAGCCAAGTCCCTGAGTTAAGTACCTCAGTGAAGGAGACAGACTCACCCAGTTTTGACAGAGAAAGCCTATGTGCAGACAGCATCCAACACAGAGAACGGCAGACCTCCCCCTGGTCAGGAACAGCCCATTATTTGCTGCACATAGTAAAAATGCATACGATTTCCAGGAATGCTGATGAGGCATCACTGCCTGGGGGAGGTGAGGTGGAAGTAAAACTGGGTTTCCTCTCATACACTGAGAGCCAGTCTGTGTACTGAAGACACTATAAACTGTTCCTGAGCCAGGAGTTTTCCTGACTCCCTTAGAAGGCAGGAAAATGGGGAGGAAGATGCTGTTACAAGGAAGAGGGCCTCCCTCTCCATTGGTCTTTCACCAACTGATATGGTAGAAAAGAGGGGCAGGAAAGTTGGTTCTGACTCCACCAATGTGGGGAGAAACCCCACTTCAAAACAAGGGCACTAGGAGACGGCCCGTCCAGCACGTCTTGCCCTCAGGGGTCATGACATGGAGAGAGGAAGTTAACATCCCTGCTTGGCACCCCAGTCCAGCCTGCAACTCCCTTCTGAACCTCTGTGCTACCTGCACGCTGTCTGCGTTGTTCAGGAGTGGAGGTTTCTTCATTCCAAAGTCATGAGGAATCAGGGTGTAGAAACGATTTGAGAGATCCAGGATCTGGGAGTCACTGCTGCCCTGGGAGACCGCCTGGAGGGGAGGCGAGGAGACAGAAGGAACAGAAGAATGAGGAAGCAGCCCTGAGCCTCCGGCACTTGGCCAGGCTTTCTTTCCTAGAAGGTGGGTGCTGCAGCCAAATCCAGAGGTAGCCTGCTATATGCACGAGCCAGCAGAATTCACAGGAAACTGACAAATACCATCTTCCTGTCAATGTTACACCACTAAACAGGGGCAGGACAGGACTCCTTACCTCTAACAGCACAGTTCAATACGTGACAGGCGTCTCATAAAAATTTTCATTACAATGAACTGTGTAGTTATACAGACTCCCCACCACTATGCGAAATGTTAAATGTAAATCTAGGTAGTGGGCTCATGGCTACTGCTGTACAATTTTTTTTGAGTTGGAGTCTCACTCTGTCACCCAGACTAGAGTGCAGTGGCCACTCCCGGCCACCGCAGCCTCGACCTGCTGGGCTCCGGCGATCCTTCCACCTCAGCTTTCCAAGTAGCTGGAACTACAGGCACGCACTACCACGCCTGGCTAATTTTTTTGATTTATTGTAGGGATAAGGTCTCGTCAAGTTGCCCAGGCGGGTCTTGAACCCGTGGGCTCAGGCAATCCTCTCACTTCGACCTCCCAAAGCACGGGATTACAGGCTGAGCCACCAAGCCCGGCCAGTATGTACAATTCTTTCAACTTTGTGTTTGAAAAATTTCCATAATAAAATATTGGGGGTTGCCCACGCTACAAAATTCATTCGGGTCTCCTTCATCTACTGACCTTCATCTCTGAGGCAGGAAATTAGTTTTTATTGCACCTGGAGATACAGGTAGCCAGGCACAGAAAGGCTAAGTATCCCCAACTACTACAGTGCCTAGCACTCTGTATGCAGAGAGGGTGCTCAATAAATGCACAAAGAGATGGAAGAGCGAGACCTCTGGAATACCATGTATTTGGCAGGCATAGCCTAGGTGACCAGAGGATGGTAAGGGGGCAATAAAATGGCATCCTGCAGGCCTGAAGCCTCAAATCTGTTTCTCACTGTGACATGAGAAGATAAAACTTCTATCTAAGCAGCAGCGGGCTCTGTGCAATGGGCAAGGGCCACCTGAGTTCTGGAGCAGGAAGCTGAGGAACTTGGGCTGAGGAAAGCCTTGTAAGTTCTTAGTCAGTGGATGATGAGGAAAGAGGTCATAGTTCAGAATCAGCTGTAACTGGATCCAACAGCCAGCTGAGGACCTCTTCTCCAGCACCAGCCAGAAAGTTCATTTCCTGGACCCGCTCCTGCTTCCTCATGCTGTTCTTCCTTCTTTAGTTAGGCCTGCACCTCACCCCCAAACACAAGCAAACTCCAGTCCCTCCAGGACGCAGCCTGAAGGTTCCAGGACTGGGAGACCTTGAAAGAATGGGGAATGAATAAAAAAAAGAGTTTTCTAGCTAATGACTTCCTAGGAGTTGTGTGGTTTTTTTGTTTGTTTGTTTGTTTTTGAGTTGGAGTCTCCCTCTGTCGCCCAGACTGGAGT